CACTCACCTCAGCCTCCCAAGGCGCGGGATTACAGGCTGAGCCACTGAGCCCGGCTAATTTTCTTTTTTTTTAATAGAAGCCTGTTTGCATTTGTGGGCCAGACTACTAGTAGGCTGTATCTAGACTCAATTTTAATTCTTAATTATTGGTCATGCAGCAGTTATTTTCACCTTTTTCCACGCTAAATGTACAACCTCTGAACTCTGAAACTGCACAGTACATTCACACAAAAATACCGGAATTTGAAAGAAGGAAAGTTTGTCTATAAAAGAACATTAAAGAAGGACTTACATGGTGGCTTCTCCTTGAATGGTCTCTCTTCATTTGGTATTCCAGAGAGGTTGAGACTGGCTTTGGTGAACTCTAGGAATGTGGCATATTGCTAAACATACTGTTAATTTGGAGATTTTTTTGTGTTTTTTTTTTAATTTATTGTAGAGATGAGGCCTTGCTATGTTGCCCAGGCTGATCCTGAGTTCAGGCAATCTCACTTTGGTTTCTCAAAGTGTAAACATACTGTTTTTAGTTTTTTTGAGTAGGAGTCTCACTGTGTCGCCCAGGCTGGAGTACAGTGGCACGCTCAAGGCCACCACAGCCTAGACCTGCTAGGCTCAGGTGATCCTTCTACCCCCGCCTTCCAAGTTGCTGGAACCACAGGAGAGCGCCACCACACCCAGCTGTTCTGTTGTTGTTGTTGTTGTTGTTGTTTGATTGATTGTAGAGATGAGCTCTCACCAAGTTGCCCAGGCTAGTCTGGAGCCTCTGGACTCAGACAATCATCTCGCCTCCATCTCCCAAAGTGCTGGGATTACAGGTGTGAGCCACCATACCCAACTAACTACACTGTTTTTAATCTGTGTTTCCTGTGTTAAGTTTCCAGATTCTTGGGTCTACCCTCTGTTGGGCACTCTGTTATTGTGTTAATGAATTCGATTTCTCTCATAGTTTCCCATGAAGAGAAACTGTTTCTCATTACCTCCTTTGTGGCATGGGTAAAATAACGGTGTATGAGCATGCAATTTGGATATAATGTGCTAACAAAGGTTTTCAGTTCTCAAGTTCAAATTTTACTATTAATTCCCTAAACTTGCTTTTTTGTTTATTTTTTTGGTGGTGGTTCCAAGAGGTAGCAGTTGGGTGAGAACATTTCATCTAAGCCTTTGTGAGAACAAATAACCTTGTGGAATGTCCATTTCATCACAGGAATTAAACATCACTGTAAGAAAGTGGTCAGTGAAGAAACAAAGGAGTGGTGTTTCATGAAAATGTTAAGATAAACATAGCCAACATTTCACAGAACACACCCCCTGCTATTCAGACATCTCGTTTAATCCTCATAATCTTAGGAGTTTATTTCTTTTTTGAAGACAAAACAGGCTCAAGTTAAGGGACTTGTTCAAGGTTACTCATCTAGCATTTGTGGAGTCTGAATTTGAATCCTAGGCTAACCACTTATGACCTTATGGAGAGGTTTCACAAGGATTTATTGAGTATGTTGACCAGACAGAAGGACCAGTGCAGCCAGCATGGCCTGTTTCCTATACAGAGTCTGAGCTTTTTAACAACCACTTTTGTATATGGCCCCCCATTTTTAAGAGGGTGTCTTGAACTCCTGGGTTCAAGTGATCCTGCCTCAGCCTCCAGAGTAGCTAGGATTACAGGCATACCACTGCTCACCTATATAGTACCCATTTGACAAGTCACTTCATCTCTGATCTCATGCCAAATGAAGCAAAAGTAACTTCCCGCTTCTACTTCATAAACTTATGAGGAGCCTCTTGTGTTCGTCAATAGGATAACTATTTGCTTTTGGGCACGAATGCTGTTTCGCCTGTGGACCTGTCTTAAACATCACAATGGTCTTAGCATCCCAGACCTCTGAGCACTAAATGCCAGCAGCACAGTTTACCTCCTTCATTCAGTACCAAAGGTGCTCCCACACATTTCCAGATGTCCTCCTAGGACAAGACTGCCACCCCTAACAGCGTGGGACTGCCCCAAGGCTAGAACTACTGGATTTGAAAATAGAAGACACCTTAATGTTAAGTGCAGTTGGCCCTTTGTATCTGTGGATTTCATACCCACAGATTCAACCTCAAGTCAAAAAAAAGATTTTAATTGCACTCCTACGAACATGTAAACATGTATAGATTTTTTTTCCTGACAATCCATAAACAACATAGTATGACAGCTATTTGCTTAGCATTTACATTGTACTAAGTATTATGAGTAATCTAAAGGCAAGTTAAAGCATATAGGAGTATGTGTGTAGGTTATATGCAAATATGATGCCGTCTTATATCAGAGATTTGACCATCATATTTTGGTGTCTTCAGGAAGTCCTGGAACCAATCCCCATGGATACCAAGGGGCCAACTATATATTCTTCCCTATACAAAAACCGCAAACCTGTGTCTTGGCCAGGCACGGTGATTTACACCTATAATCCCAGCACAATGGGAGGCGGGGGTGAAAGTATTGCCTGAGCCCATGGGTTTGAGACCAGCCTGGGCAACTTGGTGAGACCTCACCTCTACAATAAATGAAAAATGAGCCAAGAAGGGTGGCACATGCCTGTAGTTCCAGCTACTTGGAAGTCTGAGACAGAAGTATCTCCCGAGCCCAGCAGGTCAAGAGTGCAGAGGCTGTGAGCATGCCACTACACTCCAGCCTGGGAGACAGAGTGAGGCTCCAACTCAAAAACAAAAACAAACAAACAAAAAAAACCCTATGTCTTTTCTTATTTAGATGGTGTATCAGCCCCTCCAAGAACACAAATTCTTATTTTGACTGAAAGGACTGCACCCCTCACTAGCTGTGTGACCTTGAACAAGTAGCTAAATTCGTGAAGCCTGTTTTATCTGTAAAATGAGGATGAAGCTTACTTAAACCCAGACCATAGGTCCTAGTGCAGAGCAAGTGTTCCTGGGCTTCTCCCAGCTCCTCTCCCTGTCCCCTGTCCTGAGCTGCACTAGCCTGTCCCTCTTAGCGCAGAGAACATGGTGAGATGATTGTCTAACTTGACCTGCCATGAGGTTAAGGAGCAAAAGGGTGTAGAGAAATGAAGTCAGCAGAGAGAGAGAATCAACTTTAGTCTAATTACTCTTGATGGTGCAAGGGAAGAGGAAGTTGCTAGTCCCAGGCAGGACACCTAGGCAATTTTCCAATTTTGTAATGGAGAACATCTTTCATCACAATGGGACTTAAAGCCGGTGTTTTTTTATTTTACTTTTAGAAAGCAGGATTTACTGAGAGGACAGAAAAGTTCCCACAGTGGGAGGGACACGAAGGTGTTGCCCCAGCCAGTGTGTTTTAATAAATGAGATATATCTTGGCTATTGTGGAATATCTTGTACAGTAAAACCCCTACCCTAAATTGGGCAAGTTAACATTATTTGGAACAAATAAAACCAACTCAAGTTCTGACCTCTGAAAGCTTATTTTACAAATCTAAAAAGATGCTCAAAATGTTATCTTTCCATCGTTGTGATGGTATTTTAACCACTTTGGGATTGTTTTGGAGCCCTAAGCCACCAGGCAAGGTTAAAATTAGGAAAGCAGAGGCCGGGTGTGGTGACTTATGCCTGTAATCCCAGCACTCTGGGAGGCCACGGTGGGAGGATTACTTGAACCCAGGAGTTCAAGACCAGCCTGGGCAACATAGTGAGACTGGATCTCTAAAAAGTAGAAAAATAAATAAATATAAATTCAATAAACTGCTTAAAAATAAAATAATAAAATTAGGAAACCAGAAATCTTGGCTCTAGACACTGAAAGGCGACAACATGTTAAGCAACACAGCCCAAGCCTCCAAATTTGATCTCCTGAATTCTGTCACCAGGATCCCCTTATCTACTATGGCCTGGGATGGGAGCTAAGCTTTTTGCCTATGTCTGTGGTTTCCATCTTCTTGTGGCAAGAAGTATGCAGTCCTTGGGGGGAAGGGGAGTCAGTTCTAGCCTGTATCCATTCCAATCGGCCTTTGCATCTACCAGGAAGAATGCCCTATTCTTCAAAATCCCAGATTTCTCCTAATCCACTGATCCTGACTTTTTTCACCTTTAGCTTTGACACTTCATGAAGGACAGCTGGCAAGAGGTGCTCTTGTAAAGAAACAGCTGAATGAGCACGCCCTCCTTGCTGGTGAGGGCCGTCTACCACCCCAGATAACAGCCTAACTTATCCCTGGATTGTAAAATGAACACTACTGCAAAGGAAGATAATACCAAATGAGACTTTGCAGTCCTCACACCCAGAGGCAACCAAGAAAGACACGGGGACAGAGTGCTCACCCACACCTAGGAGGATCCACTTGGTGCACAAGATGGTGAAGATGAGGATGACAGCTCTCACCCTGGCAAAGTACCGGAACTTAGGGTTGCAGAAACCCTCCGTCAGACAGTAGTGTCTGGGGATGGGAATAGACACAGTCGCAGGGGCCATGTCCTGGGGCGGCCCAGTCTGGTTCCCAAGCTCCGGGCCTAGGTCCAGCGTGTACACCCGAGGGTGGCACAGGAAGTAAGGGCTCTTGGGCTTGTCCTTGAGACAGAGCTGACGGCCTTCCAGGATGACCCGGTGGGGGTCAAGGCGGAGCAGAGTGAGCATGGCATTGTCTGTGGGCAAGTCAGTGATGGGCTGCCCCGGGGCCAGCACAGTGGGATGGCGACAGAGTGGGCATAGCAAGGAGCGCTGAGCCGGAGTCACCAGGCCGAGGTGGGCTAGGCATTCCACGCAGAAGGAGTGGCAGCAGTTCAGCCTCTTGGTCGTGTGGAACGTGTTGTTGAAGGGGCTCCAGCAGACAGGTCACTCGGCCTCAAGCCCCGGGCCCTGCTGCTTGGCCATCTCTAGACCACACACGGAGAGGCCCCACAGAAGAAATCCTGGCAAAAGGGGAAAAGAAGCAAAGGAAAACCCGTGAATCCCTGTCCCTGTGTTTGGCCTACGGCTGTGTTCTGTGGGTGTAAAAAGGTATCACCCACATTTTTTTTTTGAGTTGGAGTCTCACTCTGTCACCCAGGCTGGAGTGCTGTGGCAAGCTCATGACCACCCCAGCCTCGACGTGCTGGGCTCAGGCGATCCTTCCTCCTCAGTCTTCCAAGCAGCTGGAACTACAGGCGCGTGCTACCAAGCCCAGTTTATTTTTTAAAATTTATTATTGTACAGACAAGGGCTCATCAAGTTGCCTACGTTGGTCTCGAACCCCTGAGCTTAGGCAATCCTCTCACCTCGGCGTCCCAAAGTGCTGGGACTACAGGCTTGAGCCACTGCACCTAGCCTCACCCACATTTTATAGATGAAGAAACTCAGGTTCAAAAGTGTTTTGTTCCAGATCACCATTTCCTAAGCCTCCTGCAGCCTCCCCTCTGTCAGGGTGGAGGCCTGGGTTACCACTACCAACAGCACCCGAATGAGTTGGCTTTGGAGGAAACTGCGCCTGGGGATTTGAAGGTGGATACCAATACTCCTTGTGCTCAGTGTGTTTGCCCTTGGCCGCCCTAAATCCAGGGAGAAGGGAGGGTTAAGCCAAAGTCAGTGATTTTTGCTAAAGGATAATTATTTCCTTCCCTGCTACCTCAAATCCCCGACTAGTGCAGAGAGATGGGCTTTGTGAATTCCCTGGTCTTCCCCCCCCTCTGGGGACAAATGCCTGGCCCTCTTTCCCTCCTTCCCTTGACCTAGCAAGGGGGCTCCTGATAAGATTTTTCTCCTTGACCTGGAAGCCTTGAAGAAGCTCTCCTGTCCAGGTCCCCAGATCCATCCTTCCAGAGCTTCTTCCCAGTACTCAGTCTCCCGGCTCTTCCTTCCTCCATTTGTCCCAGGACACTTCAGGACACCCACCTGGGCTTCCGTGGGCTCTAGGGTGGTCAGGCAGACTACTCTGACGGGCCCAAGGTGCCCGTCTCTCCCCTGAATCTTCAGAGCTTTTGGAGCTTGTCATCTCGCTACCAACCCCAGCATGTCTCCATGGCAGTGCACATAGCACCTAGAGCTGCCAGATAGCCCAGGCTGCAGCCTCTGGAGCACATCTGCTTGGAGCCAAGACCAGAGAGCTACCTGGGTGGCAGGCTGGGGGACCAGAGTTCTCCCCTGGGTACGGCATCTAACTGAACCTGGAAGCCAAGTATCTACAAGATAGTGGGCAGCCCCTTCTAGACCTGGAATCCCTGGCCTGGAAATATAGGACTGACAGTTTCCTCTTTCTAGATGTGAGAAGCGTGGGTCTTCTGGGTTCCCTCCTGGGCCCTCACTTCTTTTCTAAAATGACTGGAACCCAGCCGGGCTCGGTGGCTCAGCCTGTAATCCCGCGCCTTGGGAGGCTGAGGTGAGTGGTTTGCCTGAGCCCGCAGGTTCGAAACCCACCTGGGCAACTTGGCGAGACCTCATCTCTACAATAAATCAAAAAATTAGCCGGGTGTGGTAGCGCGCGCCTGTAGTTCCAGCTACTTGGAAGGCTGAGGCGGAAGGATCGCCGGCGCCCAGCAGGTCGAGGCTGCGGTGGTCCGGAGCAGCCACTGCACTCCAGTCTGGGTGACAGAGTGAGACTCCAACTCAAAAATAAATAAATAAATAAATAAATAAATAAATAAATAAATAAATAAATAAATATAAAATGGCTGGAACCCTACAGACCAATGGAACAGGATAGAGATTCCGGAAGCAAAACCTCAATTTCTCAACCAGCTCATCTTCAACAAAGCCTCCGCCAACAACCACTGGAGAGAGGAGAACCTATTCAGTAAATAGTACTGGGAAAACTGACTGACCACATGCAGAAAAATGAAACAGGACCCCTATCTATCACCAAATACAAAAATCAACTCTAAATGTATCAAAAACCTAAACGTAAACCTCAAACTTTAAGAATCTTAGAAAATGCAGGAGATAAGAATCTTAGAAAATGCAGGAATCTTAGAAATGAGAATAGGCAACTAATTCCTGATCAAACCCCAAAAGCCCATGCCATAAGAGGTAAAATAGCCAAATGGGACCTCATCAAACTGAAAAGCTTCTGCAAAGCAAAAGAAACCATTAAGGGGCAGGGAGGAGAGCTGGGCTCGGTGGCTCAGCCTGTAATACCGCACCTTTGGGAGGCTGAGGTGAGTGGATTGCCTGAGCCCACGGATTCAAGACCCACCTGGGCAACTTGGCGAGACCTCATCTCTACAATAAATCAAAAAATTAGCCGGGCGCAGTAGTGCGTGCCTATAGTTCTGGCTACTTGGAAGGCTGAGGCGGAGGGATCGCTGGAGCCCAGCAGGTCGAGGCTGCAGTGGCAAGGAGCGTGCCACTGCACTCCAGTCTGGGCAACAGAGTGAGACTCCAACTCAAAAAAAAAGAGAGAGTGTGGGAGGCCTGGCACGGTGGCTCATGCCTATAATTCCAGCACTTTGAGAGGTCAAGATGAGAGGATTGTCTGAGCCCACAGGTTTGAGACCAGCCTGGGCAACTTGGCGAGACCTCATCTCTATAATAAATCAAAAAATTAGCCTGGCATTGTGGCACGTGCCTGTAGTTCCAGCTACTTCGAAAGCAGAGGCGGAAGGATTACCTAAGCCCAGCAGATCGAGGCTGCAGTGGCTGGGAGCATGCCACTGCCCTCCAGCCTGGGCAATAGAGTGGGATTCCAACTCAACATAAATAAATAAGTAAATAAATAAATAAATATTGACCTTCCATGTGACCCAGCAATCCCCCTTCTGGGAATATACCTGAAGGAACTTAAATCACTTTACAAAAAAGATACCTGTGCATGCTTTTTTACTGCAACATTATTCACAATAGCAAAAACATGAACCCAAACATGCTGCCCATTGAAACTGGACTGCATTTTAAAAACATGGACTATTAATATAGGCCATATTAAACTTTTTTTCTATTACGCAGCCATAAAGAAGGACAAAATGATGGACTCAGCAACTTGAATGGATTTAGAGTCTGTAATACTCAGTGATCTATCACAGAAACAAAGAACTGAGTACCACACTTTCTCACTCATAAGTGGACCCTGAACGATTACCATCATGCTATAAGAAAGGGATTGGCAGTAGCAGGAAACTGCCAGGAGAGGTTGCAGGGGAGGGGACACAACATCAATAAGTGTACCTGATCTCAAGCCAGGCAAAGTGGGGACCAAAGGGAGGCCCAAACTTTACCTGTTTGATGACCACTTGTATACCTAATCCTGAATTGTACCCCACATCTTTAAAATAAGAAATACAAAAAAAATAAAATAAAATGACTGGAACGTCCTCCTTACACAGAGGGCTGCCTTGTGTTTCTGTTGCTGGCTACTTTGAAGCCTAAAAGCCTGAATATCAGATTCAGCGGGTCCTCTCTGCCGCCTGCTGATCTTTCTTTTTTTTTTTTTTGAGTTGGAATCTCACTCTGTTTCCCAGGCTGGAGTGCAGTGGCACGCTCATGACTGCAGCCTCGACCTGCTGGGCTCAGGTGATCCTTCTGCCTCAGCCTTCCAAGTAACTACTACAGGCATGCGCCACCGTGCCCGGCTGATTTTTTTATTTATTGTAGAGATAAGGTCTCACCAAGTTACCCAGGCTGGTCTCGAACCCATGGGCTCAGGCAGTCCTCTCACTTCGGCCTCCCAAAATGCTGGGATTATAGGCGTGAGCCACCGCGTCTGGCCCCTGCTGATCTTTCAATGTGCCTCAGCAACTGCAACACAGCCAGCCTGCTGAGGTCTCAGAGCCGGCCATCCCACCAAACCTGGGGGTTTAAAGGGAAAGTTGGAGGTAGGAGCACTCCAGCCCTGCATCCCCGTTTCAACCAGAAATACTTGGCTTTCATCTGTTTTCATAGTGGTCGTTTGAATAATTTGAAGAGTTGAGCTGCTGGTGGAAAAAAATTTAAAAACCAATTAACCATCTGGACCACTCACTTTGTAGATAAGAGACAAAAGTAACTCACCCAAAGTCACCCAGCTCGTTAATGGTGACAGTGGGACCCGTATCTTCAGACTCCCAGTCCACCACCATGCGGCTGTTTTAAACATGGAACACTGAATCCATGCGGTCTACCTGCTGAATGTGTGTTATTAACTAGGTCGTGGGAGGGATCCAAGAACTATGCAAGAGGGGAAGATGGAGATAGTCAGACTCTCTTGAGCCCCTGACAGGACATCATCCACTCTGACTGAGTTGATGCCTGCAGCAAAACCTGCTCACCCTTTCATCCAGGCCCTCCTGGTTTCTTTCTAGACTCACAGGGCAGAAGGACATGAAGCTATACAGCAGGAAATGCAGCAGCCTTAGCCAAAGCTAGGATGGTTTACCAAGGATCCATACCAGTGCCTTATTCTATTTGTTTGAGTCAGAATCTCACTCTGTCACCCAGGCTGGAGTGCAGCAGCACAATCACCACTACTGCAGTCTTGACCTGCTGGGCCCACGAGATCCTTCTGTCCCTGCCTTCCAAGTATCTGGGACTACAGGCACACACCACCACACACAGCTAATATTTTTTTTATTTCATTGTAGAGACAAGGTCTTACCATATTGCCCAGGCAGGTCTTCAATCCTTGGACTCAGGTGATCCTCTTGCCTTCCCCTCTCAAAGTGCTGGGATTACAGGTGTGAGCCACCATGCCGGTTTCATTCAACAGTCACTGAGTGCTTACTGCATACCAGGTGCTGTGATTCGTACTGGGTAAATAATGGTGGACAAAACAGACATAATCTTTGATCTCATGACATTTAGAGTCTAGCAGGGCAGAGACTTTTAATGAGTAACGAGCAATAACTAAATGCATAATGTTAATGGATGCTAAAGGACATTAAGGAAATGACCTGGGGGTGGAGGCTGCTCCCTACAGACCATCAAGGACG